TATATACATTAGAGAAAGAGATATATATATGAACCTTTTTCTTGGTTTTTTTTATTCTTTCTTATTAACGTGATATGACTGAAATCAGAAAAATGGAAGGGAAAGCAAACAAGAAAAAACAACAACAACGAAGAATTGAAAAAAATAAGAAAACAATAATAACGACAATAAAGGTATACATAAATATTATCTCTATTCATTACGGTTTTAGTTTATAAATACGTATTGTTTATATGTGTAATATATATATAACTCTTTTTTTTCGTTTTTAAATAAATGACAGCTTGCGAAAAGAATGATCCAGTCTTGGACCAATTACCAACTGAATAGGGTGAACTATGTTATAGTTAAAAATTTGTTAATATATTTCTCTTCTTCACAGTCTGCTAAACGTAAGTTTCTGAAAAAAATAAGTTTACAAACAAGGGCGCAGACTATCTACGACTGTTCGAGGAAGCAGGGGCACATTTCAGTTCCGAATGGGCAGCAGTGGAAGAAACAGAATCAATGTTATACCATCAGTACTAATGCGCACGAGCGCAATTACAGGATGAAATCTTTGGGGGACAGCAAAGTGCAAATAACCAGGTCCAGGAATTACAAAACCGAATGGCATATATTTACAAGGAAGACATGACCGCAAAAACACCATTGGAGGAAACGCTAGCGCAATTTACGTCGGCACCGCAACAACTCTCGCAAAGAGAGTTTCAGTGGCGGAATTGTCCCACCCAAACATAGGAGTAGCAGAGGAGCCAACATGGAAACAAAAAAACATTTTCACTCAACCAACCATTGATGTATCAGACATGACTTGGCAAGGGGATAACGCACCTATGAATTACGTGGAAAGAAAGGATTAGATTATTCAGTCTTTAAAAATATATATGTAAATATATTCTCTCTCTCTCAAACGGATTCTTTTTTTTTTAGTGTCATTTGCATATTAGTTTTCAATGGGTTGGGTTCAATAAGTTAACACTATGTAATAATAATCCGTTTGTTCACACTATGGTATTATACAATTTGGGGGAATTTATAAGATATACCTTGGAAGAAGAAAAATGGAAGTACCGGGATTATTTGTACACTGGGAATAGAGTCACTGATACATTATTTAACGAAGTTTTCACTCCTCCAAATCCTTCATGTCTTTCTGAACCTTTACTTTTACTTGTCTCTTTCAAAGTATTAACACACTTCAAAGACAACAGTAACAATATGTTCTCTGTCTCTCACTGTCGCTTGGCCCCATCAGCATTCTTGTTCCTTTTACTTCTGCTTTGCAGTTGTGGGGTTCACGCCGCGTACTCAGAGACGTTGGCGAAGTCTGCGCTGTACTTTTCAAAGGCCTCATACTGCGATGTTCCATCTATTGACAACTGGAGCTGTGAATCGTGTCATAAGCTTACTTCGTTCCACGTGACGAAGGTGTTTACGAACCACTCGTACGGTACCTTGGCGTACATGGGTGTCAGCGAAGACCGCATTGTGATAAGTTTCCGTGGATCCGAGAATATACCCAACTGGATATCTAATATGAAGTTTGGGAAAGAAACATATCCAAATGCCACATGTAAGGGTTGCAGTGTGCATATTGGGTTTTACCATTCCTTCTTATCACTGCGTAATGAGATGTGGGTGGAGCTGCAGCGGCTGGTTGCCGAATACCCCCGCCGCCCAGTCCTCATCACCGGCCACAGTCTTGGCGGCGCCATGGCGGTCCTCGCGGCGGCGGACTTCGCGGCGCAGGCGTACGCCACCGGTACAGTGCCGCAGTTCGAACTGTACACGTTCGGTGCCCCGCGCGTGGGAAACGATGCGTTCACGGCGTGGATGGCCGCACTGTTCTGCAGTGGCAAACACGAGGCGTACCGCGTCACACACAATCGTGATGTGGTGCCCCATCTTCCACCAATGCTTTTTGGCTTTGAACAGACTGCGGGGGAGGTTTGGTACAGTGGTGACGGTGAAGGGAACTACAGAACCTGCAGTGATGTGACGGGAGCCAACTGTTCCTCAGAGAAAGTGGAGGAGGACTCCAAGTGCAGCAACAGCCTTTATCCCATTTCTGTGTCTGACCATCTGGAATACCTGGGTGTGTGTACCTCGTGCTCGTGCCGAAAGAGGAGAACCAGAAGTCTTGAGGAGGCGAATGAGCTCTCACCAAGGTTGAAGTGGCTGGTGATCCTTGACCACATGTACCAACATGGGGGAAAAGGTGGCAACACACAGATTTTCGCTGACTTTATGAGTGGTTTCATGGACAAGGATGCAACAAAGTAGTATCTTTGCTTCTGGCAGTGTGTTTTCTTTTTTGGGTTTGGTTTTTGTTTATACCCAGTAATACATAATTTTTTTTTTTCTTTAAGAATACATAATTTTTTTTTTCTTTAAGAATACATAATTTATACGCTTTTCTTAAGTGATAAAATTTCTTATAATTCTACATGAACATAAGAAAATATATTTTTACTTGTTATGTTTTTTTTTTTTCTGAGAGTTTGCGAGAGAAAAAATGATCGAGTCTTTCACCAATAACCATTGTATCTTGGTAAGGTATTTATTTTTGAAATTATTCTTTTTTCTTTTCTTCACACTCTGTCACACTGAAGTTTCTAAAAAAAGGAAGATTACAAGCAAGGAAAATGTGAGGTACGACCCACCCGTCTTATACAAAAGTAGAGTGGCGGATCAACACGTATGCTTTCACAGACTTTGTGCGCCATAATGGCCCCAAGGTTTTTTGCTTTTGATTTTCGTCCAGCTGATACCCCGCATTGAAGTTATCACGTTGATGGTTTTTTTTATCAATAGAAAACGACATACTCACGGTTCATGTTAACCCATATAAAGTCATGGCATGGGAGGGCCTGGGTTCCTCCATTATTAGCTTCGCAATACAGCGGAACGCAGACTTTCTACAAGGATTTGAAGAAGCACGAGCACGTTTCAGTGCCTAATGGGCAGCACTGGAGGAGACCGATTCATTTTTATACCATCAGTACCAATACGCACGAGTGCAATTACAGGATAAAACTCTTCGGTCACAGCAAGACGCAAATATGCAATTTCAGGAATTACAAAACCGAATGGCACATATTTACCAGGAAGACATGACCGCAAAAACACCATTGGAGGAAACGCAAGCGCAATTTATGGCGGCACCGCAACAACTCTCGCAAAGAGAGTTTCAGTGGCGGAATTGTCCCACCCAAAGATAAGAGCAACAGAGGAGCCAACTTGCAAACAAGAAAACATTTTCACTCAACCAACCATTGATGTGCCAGATATGACTTGGCAAGGGGATAACGCACCTATGAATTACGTGGAAAGCCCAAGTTTGGGTTATCGGGGGATACACAAAACTCCGGCAGACGGCATGGACCGAGGCAATCAGGCCAGAGGAAAAGATCCGCTCCTTTTGAAGGAATGATGGATTATTTGAAGAAGACATCACCCAGCCAATTGGTGACTGACCGCATACTGGGAAATATTTCCTATGCCAACAAATTCTGGCCCAGCTTATAACAACGCATGGAATATTTTTCTGCAATGGACACACACACTTTTCGTAATGAAGGAATGTCGGCATAACAGGTTCAAATGGGATGAAAGCTTTACAAGCAGATGCGGATAATACGAACAGTTGGGGATTTCCCCAGAGTGAAGATGCAGGGCATTCGAGAGGCTATCGTTGAGCCTTAAAAGCGGGGATGATCCTTTCATACATGCCACCGTGGAGTGGCAGAAGAAACATTCAGCTCCGCCACCACCTCCCAACAAAGCACACTTTTTCAGCTGTGATAGCATAGGCCTTTACAGCTCTACGTGCCCTGTCGCTTTGCAAAAAGAACCTTTTAAGCCAAAGAACAATTTTTGGCCAGAGAACAGTGAATACCGGGGGTCAGGGCAGATAGGGTATCTCAACAGCAATTGGATATCCAGGATTGGATAAGCCCACTCAACACCATGATTTTCTTCCGCTTACACATTCGAATGGTGTCACAAAATATTATCAAAGGAGAAACACAAAAGCAGTACGCACAGACACAACATTTTCAAAGTGGGTTTCCCACCAATAACAGCCCACCCCACCTCACCCAAGTACGACTTCAACAAATGATGTTACGTTAGTACCCGTGCGATCCCACGATCCGCACATCGTGGCATTGGTTTCAGAAACCAAGGGAATATATAGGGAGTTCTGCGCTCACACGGAATACGAGCCACTTGGGGTTACGTCGCATCAAAGGACAATCCTGCGGACGGCATGTCTAGATGGCAAACCGCAGCAATATGAAAGTGTCTAAAAGGTGGAACTTGCAATGGGCAGAGCGGGGAGCGGGGTTAAAAGGGCTTCTAAGCACTTTTATTTTCGTCAGTTCTGTTATTTAATCAGAGAACAACTGTAGAGGGAAGATATCGGGATGTGTATATGATTTGTAGGGAACAGTTGGGGTTTAAGACGACAAATTATTATATTGGTCTTTTTTTCTATTTTTTTTTTTGTTTGTTAAGTGGGGAAAGCAAGGTTTAGATTATTCTGTTATCAGTGTATGTGTTCACATATGTTTTTATTTTTTTAATTAGATAACTTTTAGTTTTATCCTTATGGCTGTTTGTATTTTTTTTTTCTTTTTACGGTTCTTTTTTTTATTATTTCATCTCATCATGCTGATTCATTCCTTATGTTTCTTTCTCTTTTTTGTTTTAAATATGTTTGAAAAGTACTGAAAAAAAAAGGACCTGAGACAGGTGTGGTTTGTGCTGTAGGGACGAGTTATTGTTGTTATTCACAATCTCTCTTATTGTGTGTGCATTGTTGCCACAGAAAAGCAAAGGAACAGTAAACATTTTATTTATTTATTTAAATAATAACATTAAGAATACTCAAAATAATGGCTCCGAAGAAACAGGTAAAGAAACAACGTGTGCGGGTTACTAACAAGGCATTAGAGGCCCGCCAATTCTCTACAGTGCGGATGCCAAAAACGAGTGAAGTACAGACTTCGAAAGTGGATGTTGCACGCATGTTTGAAGACCGCGATGCCGGCAGTGTAGCAACTGCACGTGTCCAGAGTAACAACAATACGAATGATAATAGTACTACCCATAATAATAATAATAATAATGGTAATGCTGCGCATCCATCATCACAGGCGTTTGACCCAATTCCAAATGATCCGATGTTTGTTGTTGTTGCCAAGTCGAAGTATTGGCCGCCGCCCACGCTGGAGGAACTGCACGCAGAAACAGGCGCTGAAATAACGGACGGCTTCGACACGTACGACCGACGTGAAGATGACAAACAATCACGACAAGAACGTACTAAAATTGTGCGAGGTGAATTGAATCATCCGCGAGGTAAACCGCGGCAAAATACTCTTGTGAAACTAGATGATGATAGTGATGATGCAGAGGAGAAGGAATAGAGGGGAAAGGAACAGGAGTTAACAAGAATAACAACAACAATAGTGGTAGTAGTAGTATTAATAGTAGTAGACAGTGGGTGAGAGGTGTGGAATACACTGTTGTAGCTATTTCACTACGACTTGTTGGGAGGAGTACAGAATGAGACGAAAGGTAACTCTGTATATATGGGCGTAATATTGTATGAAGAAAAAAAAAAAAACAAAAGAAAAACACGTGTTCTTTTCTCTCTTTGTGTCTTTATGTCTTTCTGTGTATCTATGTGTTTCTCTACCAATATTGGTGTTGTTACTGTTATTATTGTTGTTGTTGTTGTTGCAACATGTGTGTTATTATTTCTCTTTGGTAACGAAACGGGAAAAAAAAATCTTCGTATAAAAACCACAAAAAAAAAAAAATAATAACATTAGTAATGCTCAATGTGGTGTATTTCTCCTTCCTTTGTGTATGTTCTTGCTACTGTTATCACTGATACTCTTGCAAGACTATAATTTTCTTTTTTTTTTTCTTCTTTACCGCTTTTACTCTTCCTTACTTTTCTCTCTTTTTCTCTTTTTCTTTTTTTTCTCATGTTGTTAGGAAATAGTGGAGGGAATGCGATGTTGCCGAATGAGTTTCGGCGCTCGTGTGGTTTAACTTCACTGTTGCAGCGCAGTGTACAGTTTCTCAGTGGACTTCGTCGTGGTGTGATATCCCCAACATTATCATCATTATCTTTATCATCTCTTAACTTAACGTTTCCTTCACTGCGTGGACAATGCTTACATATACATGAGGAAAAACAAGAACAACAAGAACTTGAGAATTTACTTAATCGTGCGGATATTGCAGGATGTTTACTCAATACAAAGACGCACATGGCGGAAGTTCAAACTTCGCTGCTTACGTCACTTTTTGCAAAGCCGCATTGGAATAACACTATTACACATTCTATGACTGGACAAGCCGTCGCCAAACTTGAGAAGGAGATAACGGACAATGTGGCCATTCTTCTTCATTTACCATCACGCTTCTTCTGGTTACCATTAACATCAGAGGAAGAAAGACTTCAAAGACTAAACTATTTATCCTTACAGCAACAACAACACCAACAGCAACTACTTTATCATACCTCTTCTGATGTATCAGTCCTTAAATCACAGAGTCCAATATTGCATAGCAGCAATACTAGTACTTCTATTAATAATGCTATTAATAATAATAATAATCTCTCTGGTGGTGGTGGAATACTACATGAGACTTCATTAGAGAGTCTTATTGTACTTCTTACCACTGCACGTGCGCAAGCGCATGCACGGTATCTTAGTGCACACTTCACTAGCCCAGAGGATGAATCACGATTAACGCAACGATTAGTTTTATACTGTAGTGATCAGTGTCATCCACTGCTAAAGAAGGCTGCTCGCTGTATGGGCATTCAACACATACGTGTGCTTCAAACCGTATACTCACCATATACGCATAATTACCCTATGCAAGTAGATAGATTGAAAGAAGCACTTGCAGAGGATGTAGCGAAAGGACTTTATCCTTTAATGGTTTGTGGTGTATTTGGAGCACATGCCACTGGAGCTGTAGATCCACTTGAGGAGTTGGCAGATTTGTGTCGTAGAGTTAAACTTTGGTTTCACATTGACGCAAGTCACTCAGGTATGGCATTAGCAGCAGATTATAGTTCTACCATTCCTCTGGAACACTATGGTTATTATTCTAACAATAATAGTGATAATAATAATAATAATAATAATAATAATAATCAGCAACATCAAGAAGTAAAGCAGGAAGATAATAATCTTTCTAGAATACCGGTATTAAATGAAATGTGGAATTCAGCAGCAGCAGCAGAAACATCATGGGAGCAAAACGTCATGACATTCCGTAATGCTTCATCCTTTGCTGATTCTATTCATTTTACTATATCTAATTCTTTTTTACCAACATTATCATCAGTCTCCTCTGCTTCATTACTCTATGTTGATAATATTTCTAAAGTTGCAACGGCATTACAACGTATGAATGCTGAAGATGAGGCAAGCGCAAATATGTGGTGTACTCCCATGATTACAGATATGTCTCGTTTACGACTTCATTATCCTGAAATGCGTTCCAATGAAATAATTCGTCTTGCTTTAACATTTTTTCAACAAAAGAATGTTTTCTCTATTTCTTACAAGGTACGATCTCATCAAGTTGCTATGTCTTATTTGGAGCAACGACTACGTGCAGATGGACGTTTTGATTGTTCAGTACATGCTTCATACTTTGGTATGGTATTATTTCGCTGGCTCACACTTGCTGATGAAGAGACAGAAGCTCTTATGTGGCGTTGGAGCTCAATTCTTACATCTTTGAATAATGAAAAGGATAGTAAAAAGGATACACCATGTTCTTCTTCTCTACCACGGGTATTTCTTGGCCTTGCACGGGTACAAAGACGACTTCATATCTGTGTTGGAATATCTTCAGGATCCAAAAAGAATATTAGTGAGAATGAGAATGAATATGTAAGTAAAGGGGATGTAGATGCGCTTATGGATACCCTTAAATTAGCTGCCGATTCTTCTTTTACTACTGAAAGGAATGATGATTCCCCTACAGATATATCACGAGGTGTTGAAAGAAAAAAGAAAGAGTAAAAAAAAAAAAAAAAAACAACAACAAAGAAGAGCATTAGGTAATATTGCTGATGATGATGATGATGGTAGGTCAGATTATATTATTTCTTAGGTGATTATCTTTACAGAGTTCTTTGGAAGATCGTTTAAAGAGATTGCATGAATACGAATTCTTTTTTTTCCATCTGGAGTTCTCCTTTAAAATAATGCAATTGAAAAGGAATTGGGAGAACTCCAGACGGAATACACTCACACAACAAAAAAAAAAAATATGTATATATTTATGGTATTTTTACTTGGCTTTTTTTTTTCTTGCTCTTATGGAACACCTTGTATTGTTCTTTTTATTTATTTATTTTATTTCTTGTTACTTAAAAAAAAAAAAAAAAAAAAAAACAATTAGCTATGGAAACAGACTGAAACTTAGAATGACTCTACTTTCGCCATCTACAGTTTCTGCTCTATCGGCTAGCACTAAACCAGCGTCGCGGTTGCGGCTAGTTTCTTGTATGACCAATTCCCGTAAAATGTGTCTTCGTGGATGGAGATTGTCATTAACTCCCTCCATATCGCTTGTGTCTGGTGCCTGCTTAGAGGCACGCCGTGGTGCGTTCAACAAGTTTGAGGCTGTAGACTTTGCTGGTCGTTCACGTAATGTCTCTAATGCCTTCAACCCTCTTGAGTTAAATCTTTTTGATGACCCTACTGGTGGACTTGCTGCTGGCCCTGCGGAGGAGTTATCGACGACGGAGATTGAGCACCAGGTTCGCCTGTACGTATCTGCCTACTCCCGCTCCCTCTTCTATCTCCTGTACACACCCTTTGTAGATGTGATCTCCGTCCTTTTAGAGCGTGGCCTTGTGCCGGACACGGCGCGTGCGGGTGAAGTGATGTGTCGCTGGTTTACGGATGGTGCGCTGACGCTTCAGAACCCGACGTGCGTGGAGGCGGCGATGGGGCCGGCGGCGTGGCGGGAACTCTGCGCGGGTCTCGACGACTTTTACGCCGACGTGGCGGCCGTTCTTCCCCTGCCGGCGGCGGCGCAGCGCCACGGACTGGCGGCGGAACTTCTCGTGCCGTTCATGCGGCAACTCGCGATGGAGCTGCTCGTGCCGGCGCGGCGGCGGGCGGTGGTGGCGGTCCTCCCCGGCCTCGTCCTCGGGCTCGCGAACGGCCGCGCCCCACCCGCCCTCGGGCTGCACCCCACCGACCAGCGGGCCCGCGCCGTCGCCACCGCCGATCTCTTTCTCAGCGCCGGGCAGGAAACGGGAAATACAGATCTCGCCTATCTCGGCATTCAACTCCTGCGCGCGAATGATATTCCAGTGCCGTTTCCCAAACAGAAACAGCTTACAAACGTCTTTGCCGCAGCAACACGCATTCAGACAGACTGGCAAATGCGGGTTAGTGGACAGCTGGTGGAAGTACTCCCAAAGTGGATGGAATACTACAAGAAGGTACATAACGATAACGTGAATGCCATGAAGCGACTTCACGAAAAGGATTCTGCAGAAGCAACCGTAGCAGTAGGAGAGAAATTCTCAGATAAAAATGAAACCAAGAAATTGGCATCTAAGAATAATCCTGAAAAAACCAATACAACCACTACCACCACCACCACTACTTCTCGTGATACTATAAGCAAGAGTAATAGAAACTCTCAGGATGATGAGGGTGTGCATGACTATTTTACGAGTCATAGGGCAGAAAATTTAGTTCGTCTCTCAGATCTCGAAAATCGTATTTTACAATGTGTGCGCAATCGAGAAACTGCCTGGAGTGATGAAAACAACAAACTTTACTCACGTTTTAGAAGAAAAAGAAGTGGTAACGTTGGGGAACTAAAGAAGGAGAGAGCGGGAGAGGAAGAGGAAGTGGAAGTGGAGTTGGAAGAGGACAATGATGATAATGATATTGTGGAAAGGGTGAATGCAGAAAATGTTGGGGGAAAGAGACACTCGCGTAAAAAGGCAGAGGGACAAAAGTCGAAAGGAGATAGTAATAATAGAGATTGGGATGACGATGATGGTGATGAAAACAATAGCAAGTCTAATGGTTTACATCTTGGGAAAACGAAGAAAACCAACACTTCTTTAGAGTTTGAAGAGATATCACCAGAACCTGCATCCCGTTCGAATAAGGTCTCTAAACGGAGTGAGCAACCGAAAAATACGAAAAGAGGAGGGAAAAAGGAGATTGAAGAGAAAAAGAAGAATCCCAAACAAAAAGGAGGAAAGAGAAAAGGGAACACAAACACCAAAGCTTGTGAAAACGACGAAATGGATGAAATACCATACAAAGAAAACATGGTGTTTGGTGTATGAGTTTTTTCTTTTTTTTTTTATGTTTTCTCAAAGATACATATACATATACATGTGTATATATTGAAACAGGAGAAGGAAGAAGAAAAGATAAAATGAAGACACCATAGTCACATCATTACCATTGTACCCTATTTATTATTAAGTAAATCGCTTTTTTTTTATTGCATTATCTTTTTTTTTTGCTTTGTGAAAGAGAAAATTTATTCAAATATAAATTATTTTTGCATGATTTCTCCGCTATTTAATGAAACTTCGTTAGATAAATAATTTTTCTCCTTTTTCTTTCTTTTCTCTTCAATTGTTTTTGAATATATATTGTTTAGGTGTGGGATAGGTAGGTTTGTTTTAGGAGACTTACCTTTAAAAAAAGAAAAAAAAAGAAAAAAATAAATAAAAGCAAACACATACAGTGATATCTGTTGAAATACTTTTTTTTTCTTTATTCGTTTGCTTATTAATTACCGTTTGATAATAAGATGGGTGTCTTTGGATTACGTAAATTCATTGATGCCGCTTCATGCACGAAGTTTCTCCCTATGCCGTCATCAGAAGATGACGGTGATCACCAAAAGAATGAAGAACAGGAACAACAAGGGGAGAATCATAATGCTCCTTCTTCTTCTTATTCCTCTAGTTCCACAGGCTCAGCATCTGTGGATCATGTGTTAGTTGATCTGAATTGTATTATTCACGCCTGCTTTAGGCATGATGCGGCAGCTGTGAATACAAAACGAGATCTCATTCAAGCTGTTCTGCAGCGACTTCAGTTTCTCCTCACACATGTGGCTGTACCTTCTATTTCTTTGACCATTTGTATAGATGGACCAGCACCATACGCTAAGCTTCACACACAAAGATTGCGACGTCGACGAGTTTCACTTCTTGATACTTGTAGTTCACAGGAACAACAACAACAACAACATCACCTTACACCACTTGCCGTAACCCCTGGTTCTTTATTTCTGGTGGAATTGGAAAATGCGTTAGCAGCACAATTTAAACTTGGTGGAGGTTCTGGTTTTTTACCAACATATGTGCCAGTTTTTCTCCATGGTTCTACAGTAGTGGGTGAGGGTGAGGCAAAGATTGCCCGGGCTCTTGCACATATTGCGACTCTCTCATTCCCACAATGTAAGAAGTATAACCCAAATAATACGGTAGCGGTAATAGGAAATGATATTGATCTTACATTAACTTGTATGGGTGCGACTCAATATCATAATTTATTTGTTGTGGGTCCTTCTTCTATGCAACTTATTAGTGTATCTGATATATTATACCGCTGGTTATGCAGTGGTACTACAATGGGTGAAGGAGGTTTTAAACTTACACCGCGAGAACTTGCCTCTGTACGAGTAGACTTTGTTTTTCTTTTTCTTCTTAATGGTGGTGATCATTACGTTGGTGCTGGGGAAGTGGCCCATGCACTATGGAAGCGATATCGTACAGTACGTGCTGCGGCTGGTATGCAACGTTCGTTGGTGTCTAATGACTTACTTTCTGTGGATGTGGACTTTCTTGCGGATATCTTGCAGGCGGAGGAGTACACGGGTGAATGTGATGCGGCCGTTGGAATGCAATTACTGCACGCCGCGTTGTGGTCCCTACACACAACTGTGACGGGTGTGTGTCCAGACTACCAATATCTTCCACAGGAGGAAATAGCAACAGGCACAACACCATCCACAACCTCTCCGCATCTTAATCATGTTCGTGCAGCTGTACTGAAGTGTCTTAAGAAGAAAAGAAAACAACAGTTAAATCGTAATCATAATCATAATAATCATAATAATAATATACAATATCAATATATTCGATTTTCTTCACGTCGAGAAGATTCACGTCCACTCACGCCACTGGAGACATTTGTAGCGCTCATGCCAACAGAATCTACACTACCTGCAAGTATCGCACATACACTTCGTTCATCACGCAAGTACGCTGCGGTAGCACAACAATTACTCAACAGTTATGATGCTGATATTATAGCAACAGCAGCAAAGGAGGTAGTAGAAGCCGCAGACGAACACTTGACAATTAGTGAACGTTGTCTACGTGAGTTCACAACACCTGTTCAATTGAATGCATTACAACCGCCTAAGCGACTCTCGCGTCATGAACAACATCGCATGATTGCCAAAATGGGGAAAGTAGTGCGTGAACCTCCGATCCCGCTTGTACAACGAGTAATACTTCCCGAGGAAGTTCAATATGTGAATGTGGATTACCCCTTATATGTAAAGGATCTCCTCTTTGTATCTCCATTTGATCGCGTAGATTCGGATGAAATGCCTAAGAGTTCTGCGGTGTTCACTGCGAGTGGTCTCACCACAACGCCTGTACCATTAAATGGTAATAACAATAAGAAAATGAAGGAGAAGAGTGAGAAGATGAATCATAATGAGAATAAGCCAAAGGTACGTCGAGTGCCTGTTCACATGCATAATAAACAACACATGGGAGGAGAAGGAGAAGAAGGCGAAGGAGTCTCTGCAACTCAACAGTTACAAGAGACACTTGCAAAGACGGCTGCGTTGCGATTACCGGCGGGTCGTGATAAGAAAACATTACGACGTTTAAAGAAAAAACTCAACGCCCATCGACAGCTCAGTGTTAAGGAAGCACGTGAAGGGGAAAGTACGGGAGAGGCCAGACAACACCTGCTGCGACACGGCGATAAGGAATTCTTGGATGAGATTCGGCAATTCCTTGGAGAAGATAAGGTGAGTGTGAAGAAACTTCTCCGAGATGATCAGGACAAGAATCACAACAACAACAACAACCATAATAATAATAATAATAATAATAATAATAATAATAATAATAATAATAATAATAATAATACGAAAAAGAAGAAAAAGAACAACAACAGCAACAACGGGACTGCAGAAAATAATAGTGGGATGAAAGGGAAGAAGACGGTAGATACGCGAAACGATAAAAAGAAGAACTCTAAAGCGAACACATCCACGCATGGGCTTAAACGCTCTAGAGAAGCAGCAGAAACAGAAGTTGCTATTCGCGGTGATGTCAGTGAACGCAAAAGGGATTCATTAGACGAAACGAATAGGAATAAGCGCCGACGGAAGGAAGTAAACTTGGAAAGATGTGATCGTAACACCAACGATAACAGTGGTAGTGGAGTCACCACTGTTACCGCCGCTGCTGTTTCTAGAGTAACAAAGAAGAGAAAATAAGAATAATGAAAAATGGTAAAAGAAAAAAAAAAAGAGAGAGAGAGAGAGAAGCAATAATAATATGAGGAGAAAACTGCGAAAAAGTGTTAATGCACATATGTTATTTGTATCTTGGCATACGCAGTGACAAGTAAGAATAAATAAATAAATAAATAAATAAAAAGAAGAATTGGAGTGATTGATTGTAAAGTGTTTTTTTTTTTTCTTCTTCTTTTCTAATACTTTTCTTTGTTTGTTTGTTTGCTCTTGTATTACTACTTCATGTACCGTTCTTTTTTTCTCTCTCTCATTCTATTAAAAAAAAAAATTTTTCTTTTTTTTCTCCTTTTCCTCTTCTCTTTCTTTCTATTGGTATCTGTAATACCATTCTATCTATCTATTTATCTAAGTACAACACTGACGACGTGGAAGACACTGTTGTGGTGGTTGTCCCCCATTCTGTGTGTTCTCAGTACACTCGTACTATATCCTTCTCTATACAAGAAAGTAAAAGTGAAGGAAAGAGAGAGAAGTAGAGTTTTTCTCTCACTCTCTCCCTGTCTCTATTGACAACAAAAAAAAAGGGGTTCTGTGCTGTCCGTTGGGTATATTATCACAAGGAAGTATCACAGCAGTTTCTGTGAAAGAGGAAGAGAGTGAGTGTCAATTCTCACGGAAAACAAGAAAGAGGAAAAAAAAAGAGGTGATTCTCTCTCTCCATATATATATATATATATATATATGGCACCAAAGACATCTTACTTCCGTTGTTATTCTGCAAAGCCACGAAGTGGAGATGTTCGTGCACAAACGATGAAACTAAATTCCTCGCTTACAGATAGGATAACAACGGCAGAAGCAGCAGCAACGATAACAAATAAGTACGGCACAGTTTCGCCGCGCTACGGAAAATCAACTGCCCAACAAAACAATGATATTAATAATAATAATAACAATAATAATAATAATAATAATAATAGTAATATTAATGACAGGAATTTAGTTTATAAAACACCTTTGAGTTTAGTAGATGGTCTCAACGGTGGTTCTGATACGCCTCCTCTTCGGTATCGTACAGATTTAGATAAGCATGTTATTCATTTCGCCTTTCAACGTTTCCCACATAGTATTGAAATTATTGAAGATGAAGATGTTATTTCAGGAGATTGGAATTTCTTTTGGATGAACGTTAGTCGAATACGATCTGTCTTTTCCTTTTCTGAATACCGCCTTACAGATTCACAGATTATTAATCACTTTCCCAATCACTATGAGTTAACACGTAAAGATCTTATGTATAAAAATATTAAAAGGTACATTCGAGATCCTCTCAATGCCCATCTCTTTGTGCCTCATACTCCACCATCCTCTGCGCAGTTTCCGCATATTGGAGCGAAGGAAACGAATCCCTCTTCTGATGTTAACACTTTGTCTGATATGGCAGTGATGCGATTTGCAGATTGTGTTCCGGTAACGTATAATATTCCAAATGATCTGCAGATGTTTGTAGAGGAGTTTAGACGACAGCCGGGGTGTACGTGGATTGTAAAACCCACAGCCCGTTCACAAGGACGCGGTATTTTTCTCATCAATCGTATCTCTCAACTAAAGCGTTGGTTAAAAGAAAAACAAGATTTAAATGAGATAGATTTATCCGTTTCAGGTAGCTTTATTGTCTCTAAATATATTGCAGATCCATTATTAATTGGTGGAAAGAAGTTTGATCTGCGATTATATGTTCTCGTCACTTCCTTTAAACCACTAGTGGCGTATTTGCATGAGGAGGGATTTGCACGTTTCTGTGCCACGCGGTATGTAGCGAGTGCCCTCAATGATGATAATCTTCACGCCCATCTCACAAATGTCTCTCTGCAGAAACGGGATGAGGCGTATAATGATTCGCATGGTGGGAAATGGTCCTTGGCGAATTTGTGTTTATTCCTGCATGGTCGCTACGGTGCGGCGTGTGCGGATGGACTTTTGCGTAGTATTGAGTTTGTGATTCAACACAGTCTGCGGGCTGTGGCACCGGTGATGTTTAACGATAAACACTGTTTTGAGTTATATGGATATGATATATTGATTGATAGTTCCTTGCGGCCACACTTAATTGAAGTGAATGCCTCCCCTTCTTTATCGACCACAACAGTCTCGGATCGATTGTTGAAGGAATCGGTGTTGGAGGATGTCCTGCGGGTGATATTCCCACCAGGATTTCCATCACCGCAGGCAATGTCGTATTGGGAGTATAGAGTACGCACCGATATGACCACCGCACTGCCAACGGGATTTAGATTACTGCAGGAATAATAGACTGTGTAAACTCTCTAGAAAGGATGAAGATTGCTTTTTTTCTGTATATCTCTGTTTTTTTTTTTTTTTTCCTTTTTTTTTCTTTCTTTGTCTCATATTAAGAACAAACTCTAAATAATTTGCAACTTAGTAAGAACTATTCAGCGATTATTATTATTATTATTATTATTATTATTATTATTATTATTATTATTATTATTATTATTATTATTATTATTATTCATAGTTTTCTTTTTATTATTTTGTGTGTTTCTTTGCCTTTCTTCCCTCTTGATTTTTTTTGTCCTTTTATAATATTCATTCTTATGTCTGACGTGACGTGTTTGCTGTAAATGTAGTCTAAGCTGCAGCTTATACTTCACTCAAATGTATGTTATCTTTTTTTTTGTTCTGTTTCGTTTTTCTGTTACCTTTTATGCGATTCGTTTAGATGACTTTTTCCTTTTTTTTTGTATTTCTATGAGTTGACCCTCTCTGTTTTTTTTTTTATTCTGATTTGATGATCTTGACGATGCGTTTTCGGTTGCTGCCGTCTTCTGCTGTAATAGCCCACCGACAGAGATAAATACAGGGAGAGAAAGAGATAATGTCTGCAAGTAAATTGGTTGATGAGTAAATTATTGCACATATAGATACAATGATTAACAAACATGTACACTCTTTTATTCTTCTTCTTTTTTTTGTATTATTAACTTATTTTTCTTTCTAATAATGATGTAAAGAAAGACATTTATTTGTAACGAGAGGAGAGGGGGAAATAAGTAAATCTAGGAAATCATAAGAGTAATACCCCTCCAAAAAAAAAAAAAAAAGGTACACGTATTATTCTCAGAAAATAATTAAGCAAACAAAAAAGAAAGAAAAAAAAAAGAAGAAGAAAAAAGGGAGGAAAAAAATGTTATCAACGCGACAACTGCGGAGGTTTTCTTCAATTCTTCGTATGCGATCACTTTGTTTGAATTCTCTCTTCCGCAGTAGTGGGTCTTCTGCTGTTCTTATGCAACGAACTAGTATCACGGATCATACTGGAGGTTCAGGGAGTTTTACTCAAGGAGATGTGGGAGCGGGAACAGCAAAGAAAACATTATTAGAGGAGGAAAATGATCTTGTTAAACATCTTCGATTAGAATTGAAAAATACCAACGAACGACTTGATAAAGCCACTGAAATTATTCATCATCTTGTGAAACTTGTGGATAAGAAGCGTTTTGCCGCTGAAATGGCTATGTTTGAAAAAAGTATGGAAGGTGGTGGTGGTCTCTTTGTTACAACGAACTCTGCTGAATTGGAGAGGGCTTTGCAAACACCAGGTGCCCGTATTGTTCTTTTAGAGAATCATCATTATATTCTGGGAACTCTTGGATCTGTACATATCACTAAAACAAATGTGACGATTATTGGAAATAACGCTACCATTGAAGGATATTTAAGACTCTCACGAGATGCAAGTCTTGAGGCAAGTAATGTTACTTTTCTTTCTCCTAAAGGATTATCTGATGAGAATGAAAAGGGATTCCGCGATTGGCGTAGCACCACTCTTCTTCCTTGTATAGATGCCACTCAACGTTCTGATGTTCATTTGCGCAATTGTAAGTTACTAGGTGGACGAGATGGTTTATACTTGGGAGTTGATTCCCATGCAAAGTTAGAGAATGTGTTAATTGCGGATTGTGCCTGAGGATTATATGAAGGAGTTGGATGTTGTGTAACTCTAATGGGTTGCAAGTTTCAAGGGAATTTTTTCCATATCGTGCTACTTGGTTACGATCGCGAGGTAAGAGCTAAACAACTAACAGAGTCTTGTAGTCTTTCCAATACGTCTTCAGATACCTCAGAAATTCCTGTTTCTTTTTCAGACACATCTGAGTATGGAAAAAAGAAAGCACGAGCAGATATTGTGATGGACCATAATCCTATTCTGGACATTTATGCAGATTTTATTCATAAAGGCAAATCTGTGGAACTCCCTACGAGTTTGACTACCTGCAATCTTTCTGACCCCGTGTATTAGGACCCAGAATGATTTAGGTGCTTAGCTACAGGGTATTACTTGATCTTTTTTTTTTAATTTTTTTAAACCATTATTATTATTATTATTATTATTATTATTAGATATAGTACATATAGTAGTAGTAGAGGGAGAGGGAGAGGGAGAGAATAAGAAATTATAAGGGAATTAGAAAGGGTTATATTGTTAATCTACGAGTTTGGATTATTAGATATTGTAGTTCCAATAAATTGAGGTAGTATATATATATATATATATATATATATATATATATATATTTATATTTATTTATTTATTTATTTATAAAGGGAGAAACAGTAGGGAATAATAGGTAAGTAGTGAGTGAAATGGGTGGGGAAGATGTAGATCTGGGTATGCTGTTTGGTATTTTTCTTTCCTTTGGGGTGGGGGTGTGGGGGGAATTGATTTAGTTGCAGTTCATTATTAGCGATAGTGGGTATGTCTCTTTTTTTTTTGATGGGTTTATATTACAAGTATTATTTTTTTTCTACTATTTTTTGGCATGTATGTTTCATTTTATTTTTATATTTATGTTTAGCGTATATTGATATTTTATCTCTTGCATTTGATCTTTCTTTTGTTAGAGCATGTGGGTGGTATATTTTATAGTGAACGTACACAATGGGGTTATCAGTATATATATATATATGCATATATGCCTTTCTTTGCTTTTTTTTAGTTGCTGTTTTTCTCTCCCCTCAATCTTGTCAGTATGCACGTTGTACTCAAATGGACAGAATACCCTATGGATTGTATTAATTCATATTTTTTTAAGATTTTGGCTTTTCGATGTTTTTATTTATTTATTTTTTTTTTTTTTTTTTTTTTTTTTTTTTTTTTTTTTTTTTTTTTTATATGTTCTCTTAATTTTTTTTTTGTCTTCTTCTTTGGATCAGTTCTTGTTCTTTGTGCATTGCCATGAGATAAATAACTGTATAAAGAAAGAAAAAAAAGAAAAAAAAAAAAGAAGGCTTACGCTTTGATATATGTTGGCGACACAACCGCAGAATACTTTTTTTGTGTGTATGTGTCTGAATGTCACTTTATTATTATTATTATTATTAATGGGATCTGGAATTCATATGAATGATTTTCTTTTTCTTTCTTTCTTTCTTTCTTTCTTTTCTCTCTCTCTCTCTCTATGTGAGGGGGATTTGCGAGGGTACAGATTTACAGTTCTCTCATATAAAATTATATTTATTTGTATATCTTGTTTTTGCCCCTCTTTTTTTTTTCTTTTTTCTCTTTTTGTTTTGTTCTTCTGTAAACGATTATTTAATAAAGGTAATACAAAATTATTAAACAATCTTTTTTTTTTTTTACTTTTCTCGTATTTATTATCTTTATCATCATCAAATGTTTCTGGAGGCCTTCGTAGACCCTTTTTTTCTCTTTTGCGTCTCATGTATTGCCGCTCCATTGATAGTGGAGCGGGACAATCTTTCACACGATGACGTTGTGCAGTACTTTACGGAGCCAGCAATGATAGGAACAGCGATATTATTAATTCTTGTGGTATTGGAGGCGAAGATAGCACGATGGCGATATCATTCTCCACCATTAATATCATTCCATGAGAGATCACGTGCTCGCTGGTATCTTCTTAATGGTGTCGTTATTCACATATTAATGGATGGACTAGTAGGTGTTTTTAAAGTGAATACATTACTGGCAAAGAACTATGCAAAACTTGATGTTCGTTATGGAACAGAATTAGGTGACTTTACAGGATCGGCTGTTCATGTCATTTCTTTGATGGAGTTGTGTATAAAAGGACCTGTTTGTATTTTATTATACAGAGCATACCAAACACATAGTCCTCATCGTGATGCGTTGGAGTTTTTTTCTTGCGTTTCTCAAGCCTACGGCACAATTGTATACCTTGGACAGGAAATCATAACTGGCATGCCACACTTTGACGTTGATTACAATTTAGAATTTACTCCACATTATCTTTTGTATTTTTGGTTTGCTATTGTTTTTGGTTGTGTGCTGTATCTTATTATTCCTTGCTTGTGGGGATGGCAAGCGTACAAGCGTCTTGTCTCGGCATCCTCTTATGCAGCAGCAACCCGCAAAGTCTAAAGATCAGAGCAAATTTGTACCCACTGTTTCATCCACAAAAGCACATTGTGAAGGTGGGATGGGGGAGTAGTAAAAATGGGGGATATGGGTTTTATTCTTTTTTATTTATTTTCTTTCTTGTTTTGTCCACTGCGATTGTATTAGAGTATGGATAAATTAGATTCTGTTGTTGTTTTTTTTATTATTATTACTATCCTATACCTATTTTTGTATGTAAATCTATATCTTGTATTTTTATTGTTATTATTTTTTATTTGGTTCTAGTTGCCTTCTATTTTTTTTTTTTTTTCTTCCTTTCCTATTGTACAAAGAGCTGCCACGGAAATCGGTATCATACATACACACACACACTTAAAGAGAGAAAGAGGGATTTTAAACTCTCTCTTCAGTAAGAAGAATAAAAAGCGATAGGACTGTTGACGTTGATATATATATATATATATATATATTTCCCATCTCTTACCATGTGGTGCCAACAGACTACACTACGATTAGCGCCCAAGTTGGCCCCCGCGCCTCTGCGCCAGTTGGTGGGCGCCTCTACACTCAACACCAGCAGCAGCGGCTCCGGCATTCTTAACGGCGTGCGGCGCGTAGGGGCATCAGACGCCCACTGCCGATTGGGATCCCGCGGCACATCGCCGGAGTCCAGCACGCACTTAACAGCCCGTCCATTTGATATATTTGAGGGAAACAACAAACAGGCGTGGCTCGATCTCAAGACGGGATGGTGTCATTTATGCCAAGAGCCGTTAGGTGCCACTATGGGTGTACACATTGGTGATCGTGATCACACCAATTTACAGTACTTTCTCTTTCTTTACGCCGCCCAGGCACGACGGTGGTCGTGTGATGAAGTTCTCCGTCGCTGTATGGCCACAGCGCCTAGTGTGCAGCGCTACGCCACTCGACTCACAACGTGGGATCATCTGCACGTCATGGATGATGCGATGCGGCGTGCAGAGCTTGAGGCGCTTATTTTCTACTTAACACACCCACCACATCAGGCACTTTCACATGTTGCGCAGGGCCGCAGTCCATCTGGTTTTTGGTATAGTGGTGAAAGAATGTGGAAACTGCGAATATCTCGTCTAGTCACTCAGATATTTCCCCCTACTTCTGCTGGGATCATGACAAACTTCACACAGAAGTGTTGGGGACGTAGTAATGGAGAGCGAATGTATGATGCCCTCCGATTGCAGCGTATTAAGGCTTATTATGGTTGGCAACCGTATGAGAGTAAAGAGAAGAAGGCGTTTTTTGTGCGACAACTTTTATGGGAATTGCTTTCTGTAGAAACACGTGATGAAGTAAGTGAGTTGACAAAACACATGGCTGATTTGGCACTGCAGCGCATGGCGTTTGAAATGGTATTCCTCCAGTCTATGGAATATATGCATAAAGTTCAACGTGTGTATGATTTGATGGGTCGACCCACTGTGGAGGAACTCGCAGGAATGAACTTGTTGTAGAGTAAAACAAACAAACAAACAAACAAAGAGTGAAAGGGTGAAAAAAAAAGAAAAAGGAAAAGAATAAAAAAAAAAGAATTTTATTTCTATTTATCTTTCTTTGTATCATTTTGCTGATTGTTTGTGTTACTCTACATTTAGTTCAATTCCTGATTCAGACTTAGTTATTGTTTATTTTTACATTTCAAACAATATTCGTTCTCTTATGCACGAAACGCGTTTTTTTTTTTTTCTTTGATTTTCGATTGTTTGCCTTATTACACATATTTACTTCATTCTCTCTTTCTTTTTTCTTTGCTGTTTTTATCAACAGCAAAATCCTTGCTATTTGGAGTCTTCAGTTTTTTTTTTTTTGTTAATTTTCCTATTTATTTATTTATATTCACTTTTTTTTTTTGTTTTTAATTGGATGGCCTAACCCTCCACCCCCTTTCAAATGTGTATATACTTTATTTCTGATAGTCTCCAGTACCTTATGAGAGATGGTGTTGGAGGCCCTGCCGCCTGCAAGAAGAGTAACAGCGGCGGCAACAGCAATAGCAACAAACTCAATAACAAAAACAAAAACAACAAAAACTAAGAAAGAGAAAGGTACATTTTTGGCAGATTTGACGCGATATTTCACTGGAGTTTCTCTGGATAAGTATTCATTTATCGCCACACCTAATGGACTAAATGATCTACGTGTAGGACTTCGTGGAACAAGCAATATGTGCCGTAGTACATTTGCCTCTCATGGTGATGATGCCTTAATTGGAAATCGTATATTTGAATCCCCTAATAAACATATCTTTGCAGACTCTACTGGATTATGGTGTCATTTATGCCGCGAACCACTGGGTCTTTCTCTTATTACGCATCTCTCAGACCGTGAGCATCACAATCATCAGTTATTTCTATTCCTTTATGCAGCATTTCCACGCAGTGTAGGGAATGTACCGGCCGGATCATATCAACCTTCTGCTGTATTAGAAGAAGCCGCATTATTATTCCCCAAATTATCCAAAGCTTTCTCGGCTGGTTATGTACACACAGAACAAGATGCTCTGCGACGTGCATCTTTACACTCTATGCTCATACAACTTAGCAGTAGTGGTACTAATCAAAATAATAATAATAATAATAATAATAATAATAATAATAATATCTCTAGTTCTAAAGTTTCTAGTTGTACCTCAGTAAGAAAAGAACCTATTTTGGCCGTATTTCACGGTGATGTAATTCCCGAACTGGCGCATAGTGGAGAGCGACTGTTCAAGAGTGAAGTTTCACGTCTTATCGTTGAGTGGTTTCCCGCATTAGCACCTGGTGTTATCACACAAATTGCCCACAAATGTTGGGGAAGATCTAACTTGGAGAGTATATATGATGCACTTCATATACAAGAGATAGTGGACAACAGACTACACGAGGCGAGAGTAGCTGCAGCAACAAAAACAAAAACAACAACGCAATCAAAAACTGGATCATTACCATTGACAAGAAATAAAGCATGGAAAGAGTTACTATACCGTAAACTTTCTACAAAAACTGAAAAGGCTACTTTTATGCGAACTCTTTTTTGGGAATTAACTACACGGAATGAAGATACATCTTCTCTTACTGAGGTGGAATGTCTTTTACTACAACTTGTGCGTCGTCAACTGGCGTTTGAGATGGTATACCTGCAGTCTATGAAATACATGCAGCACGCAGATGCGACTATGCGGGAAATGTCGTTTCCCTCACTTGAGAAGTTGATCTTACTAGGCATGGCGTAGTCACAGATACAAAAGAAAGAATAAAAAGGTAAAAAAAAAAGAAAGAGAAATGAGAAGATTATTGTGAGTTGATTTGATATATATATATATATATATTATTGTTCGTATTGTTTATCCTTCTTCTTGATTCTTTTTCTTTATTCTCTTTCTCTCTCTCTTTTTTTTTTCTTAATTTGTTCTTTCACTGCCACAGTCTGGTTGGATATCCGTCAAAGAAAGGAGGTAATCCCACACCAGTTCGTACACATCAAACAAACGTAAAAGCAAAGAAAAAAAAAAAAGACAAGGGACAATTGAGGAAAAACAAATCTCGTGTCTGTTTTTTTTTTCTATTTATTTATTCTTTTGCCTCTCTTTCTGACTGTGTCTATTTGTAGACGCACGATATTGTATATCGAAAGGGACTGGAAAAAGGAAATATAAAAAAAGTTGTGGTATAGAGGGCACCACAAAAGTAGAAGCAAAAAAAAAAAAACTTAAAAAAGTGGATTAAACAAACAAACAAAAAAAAAATATACATCTAGAGAGGCACACACACACACACACAGACACACAATAAGGAAAATAAAAAAAATAAAAAAAAAAGAGGAATACCAATTATATTTTGCTCTGGGTCTTTCTTTCTATTTATATCTCAGTCTAGTTTACATGCGAACATTGGAAGTAAACGCTGGTGGCGGTGTACTGCAGCGACACTATCTCCTCGCTGGTGAGACGTACACGATTGGCCGCAAAGAGTGCCGCATTTTACTGCCGAACGGAGATCCGTCCATCTCTCGACATCACGCCGATCTCACCGTCAAACCACAACAACATCATAATCATAACAACAGTAGTTACACCAGTAATGGGGATGATTCAGATGAGAATGATGTGGCCACTGCGGTGGATTTCGTGCTGCGTGATTGTTCCAAACACGGTACTTTTGTAAATCGCGAGCCACTCGGCCGCGACACGGTTTGTTTTTTATACCCGGATGATATTGTAAAGTTCGGCAAACGTGTTTCCGCCCGTGTGAGTGGTACTGGTATGGTGTTATTATTGGCAGAGTCCCCATTCTTAAGTTCCAACGATCGACAAATCCTGCGGGATGCGGCCTGGCGACTTGGGGCCTTTGTGGTCCGCGGCCCTGTTCCCTCGCCGGCCACTCTGCGTGGACAGGCCCAAGATGTGATTGCGCTTTTATACATTACACACGATGGGTATGAGATGACACCAGAGATACTACTCGCGATGGCCCAACAGTATTTTATCACCACAGCGGCGTATGTGCAGTCGTTGGTGGAGGCATTGCGAGAGAAGTGTGCATGCTCGCCGGCGGAGTTCCCAACACCAACGGTACCATTGCCAGCGAATATACACTTTCACAAGGATGAGTATACACCACCGGTGACAATATTTTATGAGCCGGGGGAGTTTCTTAGTCGTGGCTCCACCGGGGAGGCATCATCCTTGTTATTACGGCAATATACATTCCTCTTGTTGGATACGAGAGTACATGCAAAGTATGAGGCATTGCTGCAGATATGCGGGGCCACCGTTGTGCTCATCTCACCAGATAACGCCACCAAGTTTCATGCGCATTTACAAGATATATTTACCATCGCCCTAACGAGTGATGAGATGTTTGAATCCCTAGAAGCCGCATTAGCATTGGGAAAGGAACAACAGACAATTGACAATAGCCATACGAATAACGGTAATAACCAAAATGGGGGTAAGAAAAAAGAGAAATACCGCACAATAACGAAGAATAATGAAAATGTGGAAGCAGCATATATAACATTATACAAGGCTGGTATTTGTGTGATTCCGGAGTTAAATGTACAACGAGCCATCTTTACTGGTAATGCATCAGAGATAAATGCAACCCCAACGGCTCGTTGTCTTATTTGTAGAGAAAAAACACCAAATACCCTAGCAACTGAAAAGGATACGGAGAAGAATGATTCAAAGGCATTAAATCACACAGTACAGAGAGCAAAAGAAGATGTAAATATAAATGTACGTAAGAAAGAAATAGACAGCAGTAAGCCTCTGAGGGAAATTGAAAAGAATACAGATTCTCAGGCATTGAACGGTACGGCGGCACCATTAGAGAATGAGAAGTCTAATCGGGTAAAAGAGACAAGATATGAGGAACACGTAAACCATCACCGAGAGAATGAAAAAAATGGAAAGAATGGCACATTAGGGAAAGAACCACGCGCCTCTGTGGGTTCATCTATACAACCTACCGTACGCCATACACGCAGCAGCACGGAGAGAAAAAGCGCAGAATCCATGAATGCCTCATCTTCACAAGAAAGAGAAGGCTCCACAAGAACAGATACATGCCGTTCACTGGAAAGACGTCCAGTTGTGGTCCACGCCCCTTCACAAGTGACTGCGCAGGGAACACCAATCCCAACAACAACGACAGGATCACCCATACGAAGACGGGTTGTGGCACACAAAATCTCTATGCCTTATGCACCCCAAAAGGCACAATCTCCGCACATGAATAATTCTGAAGAGAATGAGCCAAAAGACGCAGAATATGAGGTGCCGCCATCATCGCAGGTGTTAACATCTGCCGCAACATCACGCACGGCCTCTCGTCTTCCATCTGTGGAGCCCGTTGCCACCACACATCCTGAAGTACTGCACAGACAACAGAAACGTCGCCAGCACAGAAAGGCATTTGAGTCTGAAAACACCACAACAATGAATACAGGGCGAAATGCAAACTCCGTATCATTACGTACATTACGGCGAGGCTCAACAGCTTCAGTGCAGTACGGTGAAGCCACACACCGCAGCAGAAGTAACAGCGCTCAGAAGCCGCGGGCTGCAAGTGTGATGGAATCACATCACACACGTCAACATAAACCTTCAATTCACAGTTCTCACGCACATCCTACACAATCCGCTCCACGAGATTCGCAACGACAACACCGCCACACAGGATCGGCGATAGGTTCATCCTCTGCCAGATACCGTCGCAATTCGACTGGTCGTAGCCCGTCTCCAGTGATGTCTTATAATAGGATGGCGGGCAAACCGTTAGTATATGAAACGGGGGAATCAACAACTGCAGTGCCTTCATCACATAGGCAACAATTAGTCTCAGCTCGATCAAAGATGGAACGTAATTCCAGTGTTCGTGGTACTAATGGCATGGTGAACGGTAACTCTGATTCTGCAGAGGCTGTAGAGTATATACAAATGGATAAAGTTCTTGGTAGACAAGCTGCGGACTTCCTTCGCAAGTTTCTCGATATATTTGCTGTGGATGCAGAGAAGTCCTGCCGTTTATTGATGAAACAGGGTTATCTGGACGCTATGAGTAAAAAGTTTCTTGAGGGTGGAATGCAACGTGTGCAGGAATTCCTCACCATCGTAGAGAAAGCACAATTTGACATTCCCCCAATGTACAGTACAGAGACTACACGTCAGTATGTACATGAGGCGCGAAAGAAGTCACTCACAACATTGGATCGCATTAGATGCACATATGAAGCAGTGAAGGCAGAACTACCAGCGTTCCTTATTCAACAACAAGAACAACAAAAGGTGCGTAGTGGGTCTGCAGTGGAAAGGCAGTCGTCACTTCGTAGAATGTCTTCTGTAAATAGCAACTGGAGGTCATCATTTCTACACACTCACTGAGAGTAATGAGGTGAGGAGTAGTTTGAAGAAAAAAAGGGTCTTGACGGGAGAGAGAGAGAGAGAGAGACTATAAAAGCAAAAAAAAAAGAATGAGCTGCCGGTAGTCATTTACCTTTGAACGAAAGAAAAAAAAAATGAAGTATGAGTATAAGGAGTGAGAGAAAGGCTGTACGTGTATGTGGCTCTTCTGCTCCATTTTTTTTTTTTTTGTTTTTTTTTGAGTTTTTCGTTTGCTGTGGGTATATATGTGTATGTGTTGCCTCTATGTGTATTAAAAGTTATTCAGGTGTTTTATATTCTTTTTTTTTTTGATGTTGTTTTCTTCATGTTTTTGATATTAGACTTTTACTCTCTATTGTACCGTGTCTGTGTAAACACTCATGTCTGCGTGCGCGAGAAGCTCATCTCCCAATGTGATATGTTGTACTGTTAACACTATTCTGTGGTTATCTTTGTTTTGGTTTTGTATATATATATATATATATATATATAAATATATATATATTTATCTGTAGATGGCATTTGTTGTTCATTTTGTAGGACAATACTGAATGTCTACTGCATGGATACCTTTTTAGTATTTCATATTTTCTTTGTTTGTTTCTACATCAATATTTTCTTAGTTTGTATTGTATGTCTTTTTTCTTTCATGTTGTGCTTTCCTTCTGTGTGTTTGTATTTGTGTGAAAAAAACAATATTGATAATCTTCATTGAGGCAGTGTTTCATTTTTCTGCTACACTTTTTGTTTCTATTTTGTAATTACTGTTTTTTTTTTTTTTTTTTATCAATATGAGATGAGTTTGAGTGGGTGAGGGTGTTGTTCTTTTGTTGCCCTCTTTCTGTAGTCCTGCAGTCAACGGAGAATGATGGAATTTTGAAGAAGGATAAAAGAAAGAGATAGATAGAGAATGGGATTTTCGTGTACCAGTGGTAATTATATATAAAAGTCTCTCAAAGAGTTTATTTTAGTTTTATTTTTTTTCTGTTTCGATCTGTGTGTTAGTTCTCTACTGTTATCTATCAGGGTTTATATATATATGCAGATATATTCCCCTTTTTTTTTCTTGTTCTCTCTTCTTCTATTCATTTTCAGCATTGTACGAGTAGGATCCATATACATAGATCCATACCTCTATTCACAGTCTTTTCTATACCTGTGAGGAGATAAGAAGAAGACAGAGATGACTGTAGTGATTCCCACCCCGGAGTACCGTGCAGTAGTAGAGAAGACTGTGCGGGTTGCGGCTATTTGTGTGCGGCCTGTGCACCGCGTTGGGGAAGTCCTGCGGGCCCTGCGTGGGTGTTTATACGATATGCGTGGTGTGCGTAATGTCTTGGATGGAGAGAGAAGAAAAGGTACAGTAACAACAACAACAACAGGTGAGAAGAAAGAGGAGGAGACATACAAGTTGTTATTGTTGGATCCCGTAAGAGTACCCGTGTTATCTGACACTGCAGAGGAGGAGAATCATCATAATAATATTAATAATAATGATAATGTGGATAATATAGGGATTGGTATCCATACATCTCCTCTAGTGTGGGTAGATGTAAATGATGTTTCACTTCCCTCTATTCTGCGAGATCGACTGCAGTCATTACCGAAATGTAAAGATTCCACTGCATCTTGTATACATGTTGCCATGACAACACACACTGTGCGACTTAATTACAAGAACTTTACAATGCCTGAACTGCTGCAGCGGATTCTTCCACCTAACACAGTTCCTCTGAGTGGGTTTGAACAGAT